TTATTACGAGTTCAAGACCAGCCTGGGGAGGGGGGGGAGAAAAAGACCAGCCTGGGACTTTTTGTCTCCAAGAAAAAAAAAAGAAAGAAAGAAAGCAGAGGGGCTGGGTATTTAGCTCAGCAGCATAAGCACCTGCCTTGCAAGCAGGCGGTTGTGAGTTCAATCCCCGGTACCGACAAACGGAAAAAAAAAAAAAAAAAGAAAGAAAGAAAGAAAGCAGAAAAGTATCTAAGTAAAATTCCATGAAAAGCAAGCAAACACCAGGTAACATTAGGAAAATTGTCTGTCTCTTTATCAGTTTATATGTAAAACTGTATTGATGAACAGGCAGTAAGCTATGTGGCTATCTCTCTCTCTCTCTCTCTCTCTCTCTCTCTCTCTCTCTCAGTCTGTCTCACTCTGTCTCTCAGTCTCTCTCACTCTGTCTCTCTCTCCTCTTTTGTCTTTTTTCTTTCTCCCTCTCCCTCTCTTTTTCTCTTTTTCCTAATCTTTCTATTTCTCTCTCTTTTCCTTCTCACATAATTCTTGATTAACCTTTATATGGCTCTTAAGACTAATTAGTTAGGAAAAAAATATTTTTAAGGTTTTTAAGTTTTTTTGCACAGGTGGATATTCACAGGTAGTGTATGTTTGCTCAGATTGCCAAAATATGGAAAGGAAGTAAGAAATCTCTACCCATCAGTGCATTGACACTCACACATCAGCTTCACGAATTTAGTCCAAAATTGAAGGTCTTCCAATTCAAATAATGATTTTAAAAAACAGGTACTTTGAGTGCTTAATTTGTACAAAGTGATATTTATATATTATCTTTTTCAATCATCACAGAAACTTCCTGTCTCAGTTACTTCTCTTGTTGTTAAAACAAAATACTCAACAAGTTAAGGGAAAGGAGTTAATTTAGCTCACAGTTTGTAGAGGTTTCAATCTATAATCAGCTGGCTCCAAAGTAGGTGGCGTATGGCAGAGGTGCAACAGTTCATGGTGTTTAGAAGACAGCCAAAGCAACAAGAGAGGGGGACAAGACCCTTTTGGTCCCTTATATTATATACAGACTGCCCACCTTAGGGTGGTGTAGCACTCACTCCTTTAATCCTAGCATTGAATCATGAATCAATCACAAACTCTAGATTCAACCACCTCGGAAAAGTCTGCCCCTCGAGATTGCATGAGGCTTTAGAGGGACGTCTAGACACAAACTAAAACACTTACCTAGACATTTTTCTAAAAGTGAAATTTGATAGTCACAGAGAAAGACGCTTTTAGAGTTTTCCAGACACAGGCCACCAAGAAAAGAGAGAAGATTTAAACCTGATAGATGGAAATAGAGACAGAACGCAAAAGATAGAGATGGGAGACATACTCAAAAGCCAAGAAGTTAAACTAATTGCTACTATAAACTTGAAATATTTATGCAAACTAAAGTAGAAGGAAAAGGGGAGCAAGATTTTCAATTGTGTTTAAACACGTGGAACTAAAATGTTGGCAGGGTAACAGTCACCAAAAGAAGAGAGGCAACAGTTAATATAAAGCTTACAAAATATGAAATTATACCAATTCTTTAAGGCCAATAGAAAATCCATCTCAGTAGTACAATGTCTAAGAATCTTGCAAAGAACATTCAGGACAGAAAATTTTGAGATTCACATATCACTGATCTGACTACATATCAATAGGAGATAGAAAATGTGAGAACAGGGAAGCATAAAGGGACTTTGGCTGCAGGTCATAGGCCAATTTGAGGAAGCAGGAGTAAGTTCCTGTAGTGCTTAAGCTGCACAAAACTCAGAGTTCCTCTGCAGAGCTCTGATGTTTGCAAAGCTAACTCAGGAGAGATGAGAAGACAAAACAGAATGTGCCAAGAAGTTTCCAGGTTAGGTGCTTTCCGCAGCCAGGAACAGCAATGGAACCCCAACAAGCAAGATATTAGAGAGAGACGAAACAGCTCCCTTTCCTGGTCAGATAGTTCTGCAGGTCAAGTTTTTATCTTTCTATCCCAAGCCAACCACTAGTTCATTTCTGTCTGGTAGTGTTGGCAATCACTCAACTACCTACCCTCTGATGCCCAACTGGCTTCCATGTGGGGATAGAACAGCAGAAGGATCTTGGTAAGGCTCTGGGAAGCAGAAACACTCACACTGGAACTGTCAGTGGCATGAGTGATTTTCCCCCAGGAGAAACTATGACCTCATTCCTTCAAATATTAAAGATAAGAAACAAGGGAGGGGCTGACTGTGTGAACTATTCTGCCACCAAGAGAAAGAGCCTGGCATGTACTCCACGCCCCTACCTTAAATGTTTCCCTCTTTTACAATTTGACACCAGCCACTGGACCATTTTTTTTAGCTTACAGAAACAACTGGACAACACGATTCACCAAAATGAAAAATGGAAAAGAGATAAGCTTCAAGAAATAGGAATCCAAATATGTCAGCTGATCAGCTGCTATCGACAGTTGGAAGGAGAACATGTTTTACCAGCAAAAATGTCTCCAAGACAAAAATAACAAAGGGTTGGTAGATTATCTATTGCTACTGGTCTTCTAATACGGCCCAGGGAGAGACTACCAGAAGTAAGGAGAGCAGTAGTGAGTGCCCAGAAAGTTAGATAAATGAAAGTAAAGTCAGGAAGAGTATTTTTGGAAAGAAGTTTGTTTGTTTGTACCAGGAAACAAACTCGCCACCTTGCGCTTGCCATGCAGGCGCTGTGCCACTGAGCTACACTCCCAGTCCAGGAACTATCTTTGAAGAAGCAAAAAATCAGACAGGAAACTTGATAGTAAATCACAATACTCAAATGTAAGTTTTTGTAGAAATAACAATGCAATCACTGAATAGTGATCTAACTATAATTTATAATATAACCACATTGAAAATATTTTTGTAGAATGCAATAGAAATCAATAAATAATGCCTAAAACTGTAAGTTAAAAAGTATTGACATGCACACACTATTTAGCAATACAAAGATGTAAAAAGAAACATTTAAAAACCAGAGATAGTTGCCTCAGGGAAAAGTAATGACTACAGTTTACAGGTACAAACTTTTTAATACTAATTTCCTTTTAAAATACAAGGATATATTTTACAAGTTAAAAATTCAGTCAAGAAATGATAGGAGGTAAAGAAGTAAATATGTGTAGATGAATCTTTCAGGATGCTTAGCAACAAAAGGAATTATAAAGATAATGTAGGAATTATAGGGTCAAGATCAATTTTTCTTGGTTGTTAGGTAGCAAAGACAGGAATATGTTTAAATACTGACAAAAAATCATCTAATGGAGAGGTCAGGGTAGAAATGCAAGGGAAAGAAGGAAGAACCACTGGAAGGAATTGAGAACAAGCCTTGGAATAGAATTAAAAACAAAGACAAAAAGATTGGTGTTGACTGAGAGATGAAGGGAGCATCTTCCATCTATACCCGAGGAGTGCAAGGGAGGCTTTTTGACAGAGAAAGGTAGGTATGTGGGTTTAGGGTAGGAAGATGAGTATGGTCATGTCCGGAGGGCCCTGTATTTTATGAGATATGAACAACAAAGTGAGAAAGCAGCAGGTGGGTGAATAATGGAGAAGCCATGAAGTGACTACTTCCAGTCTTGTGTACCTTTCTTTCCTCCTTTACCAAAGCTACCTTATGTCTAGTGCTCAGCCAGGGCTCAAGAGAAGAGGCAGGAGTAGGAATTGGTCTTTTCATAGACAGCTACACTCAGGCAAGAGCAAGAAACAAGACAGCCAGAAAGCAAGACCAAGGATCCCAGTTGGAAAAATAGAAATATAAGACGTAACTCAGTGTGACAGATAGCAGAGAGGTCACTTATTGCGAAGGCTTCAGGTCCTGAGATCACTGGGCCAGAGATTCTTTCTCAATTACCCTGAAGTAGTAAAGTGAGAGCTGGAAGTGAGAGAGTACTGAGACCTCCGTTTCTGTTAACCCTGGCTGGCTGGAGTGGAACTGATAAGGACTGCAACTGAGTTCCAAAACAGGAAGGAGAGAGACAGAGACCAGAAATGAGATAAAAAGGTACAGAGCGACATAAAACGCTGCTACCAATAAAAGGAACCTCCTCCTGCTTAGCTTCTTCCCTAGCCTCCTCGCCCAAACTAAAGCACTGACTCTGCTAGGATCTGACTGAACTAATCCCACCAGTTTTCCTGGGTCACCGGCTTGCTGGCTGCTCGGCTTCCCTAATTACAAAAGCCAATCCCTTAAAACACAGGTGGTTTTAGAGGATCCATCCTGCTAGCCTCCTTTGAGCTCAACACTCCAGACACCAAATATATTCCTGAGATTCACCCGGCCTGCTTCTGATCTAAGGCCTCTGCTCTAGTTGGTGCTCCTCTGTAAGGACTCTTTCCCCCAAATAACTAAATAATGGTTACCTACCTTGAATCCTCTGAGTCGCACTCAAACATCATATTCTCATTGTGACCTGCTCTGATCTCCCACTTCCAAGTCCCCCTTATCCTCTGTGAATTCTTCCTTTTTCATGGCACAACATTGATAACTACTGTATGTCAATCATAGCGTCTCCTAATACAATATTATTTTTCTCTCCCCTCTAGAATGTAAATTTCTGCCCATTTCATTCACCGATAGCTGCCTAGAGCTTAAAAGAGCGTCTGTCACACGTTAGGTTAGATGAATAAACCTCCATAATGACACGTGGTGATGCTGTCAAGAACAAAACTCTTTTAAAAGGAACTTAATCTTTATCCCACGTAGGTGTAAAACAGGAATTGCGTTGCTCTCTAGCTCCACCTAGAGACAGCTATGTGGACTGCATTTAGTTGTTCCTTTTCTAAGGCGGCCCCAAATTTACTCGGAACCATCAATCGGCATCTTAGTCGGTATACCTCGGACCCAAAGCAAAGAGCACAAACTCCGGGAAAAAAATTTACAAACAGCCGGAAATTTAGTGTCCGAGAAGCATCACTACTAACCAATAGGCACCAAGGCGTACTTTGAGCCTGTCAAGCTCCAGTCAACGAGTGACTCCCCCTTCCGGTCCAGGCTTCCTCTTTCGCGTCAAGATGGCTACGCCGGCGGCGCCCACGAGTGCTCCTCCCGCCTCTGCGGCCCCAGCTCCGGACCCGGCTGTCGCCCCAGCCCAGACTCCTTCGCCGACGCCAGCGCCAGCGCCGGCAGCGACCCCGGCGCCGGCCTCGTCCTCAGACCCAGCGGCAGCGGCGGCCACCCCCGCGGCTCCTGGCCAGACCCCGGCCTCGGCACCAGCTCCGGCGCAGACCGCGGCGCCCGCTCTGTCGGGGCCGGCTCTCCCCGGGCCCTTCCCCGGCGGCCGCGTGGTCAGGCTGCACCCCGTCATTTTGGCCTCCATAGTGGACAGCTATGAGCGACGCAACGAGGGTGCCGCCCGAGTTATCGGAACCTTGCTGGGTGAGTGATCGGAGAACATAGACTTCTTTTTTTCCACCTCTCAGAAGCTTTGTATCACGGCAGGTGTCCCGTCTCCTCTCCTGCCACCCGATTGACTCCACTTTCCCTGCCCCAGTAGCCTGATTGGAGTGGAGGCTGCTAGGATTTATGATATTGTACTTTTCCAAGCCTTCTGAGCATGATCTGTTCCTCAGGCTCTTCTGTTACTTCCTAGTGTAATAAATAAACCCTGTTCCCCCCGTGCCTTCTCTCCATTTTCCATTAGGAAAGCAGTTGTTTTCTGATTGTTAATCTATACGGTACTTAAGGTTGAAAAAGAATTTTTTTTTGCCTATATTCCAGATTTGAAAAATAGATACGTTAAAATAGTTTGTAAAGCTGAAAAGCACTAACGAGGTATTGTAGATAAGTTCTTTTCTCTAGAGCCAATTTTCCCTTAAGTTTATTTCTACTTTGCCTTAGTGACAAGTTTTAAACATTAAACACCTTTGTAGGTGCACTCTATATGCATTATCATTTCTCTTTATTGCTCTTGAACTTGTAATAGGCCTTCACATAATGTACTTGACGGTGTGTATTGCCAAGAGAGTAAGATACATAGACAGATGCCACCAAATATCAACCAAAACTCAATTATTTTAGTCTAGTTCCTTTAGGGGCTGCTTTAAGAGAGTTTTTCTGAGTTCCAAATTATTACAGAAAGCATCAGGTACAGCTTTTGGTTGGCATCTACTATCAGGCCTACCCGTAGAACACGCAGTTCTCTTTACCTTTGATGGCATAACACTTAACAGAAACTTAAATTGATTCATTGTGTTCTAAACATCGCCATGTCTTTTCTCAAAGTGAACCTTTGTATCCCCTACTACAAATGCTGTCATCCCTAATTTTAAGTTTTCGCACATCATGTAAGTTCCTAGAAAAATATTAAGCATCAGTCTTCCATGCCATACCCCTGCTTTTGGTCTGTTCTTAACCTCTTCAGTATAACATTCCGTAATTCCTCTGTTGTTTCTGTAACAAAAGATTTTTATGTCATTGACTTGAAGCTTGACAGCTACGGGGACTGTGCTGTCAAACTTTCCAAATTCACTGGAACTGTATAACTAAAGAAATAATTTTCCACCCAGAATTTTTTATTTCATGTCCCAGTTATTTCAGTAACTATTGTCAGGCCAACTGTAATCTAGGTCCTCAGATCTCTTCCAAACGGAATCATTATGCAGTGCTCGGGGTTACACAGCATTGTTTACAGAATAATGAAGCACAGACCCTGCTTGCTAGGAACTTACAATTTCTCAGTTAAACATTAATTTGTGAAACCCATTTCATTGAGTATCTTTTATGAGCCATAAAACTATTAGAAACCACAATTTGATCAAATGAATTCTACTGTAACTTGAAATTCAAAATATAAATATATATTTATGTGCAAATAGGATATAAGTGCTGTAATAGAACAATATCAAAGTAAGGTGCAAATACAGAAGATGTAACTTTCAGAAGGTCAGAGAAAGAAAGCCTCATAGGCAAGAAGACATTTAAGCTGGGCATTAAAGAACTGTGAGTGTGAAAGAGCCTGGTAAGTCCACAGTCTGAAGAAGTGAGCATTACAGGAATATAAGAGTGAGGGGAAATGTGGCAGATGAACTAGCAACTTGAACCATAGAGATGTTAGATAATTCCAAGTATGCAAAGTGCCAAGAGGATTACAGGACATATGACAAGACAAAGTATCAGTCTAAACAAGTTTGGAGCTGTTTGAGGAAGATGCTAGAGCAACAGGCATCTCAGTCAAGCCTAGGAATTAAAGGTTTCCGTGATTGCTTTATAGAGAGTAGTTAATGACAGGTGTGAGCTATGCCTAGCTACCAGGTGGTGGGTGTTACAGTAATAGGGATGAACTTGAGAAATGAGAACAGAGAGTAGTGGAGGACTTGATGGGGCTTGATGTGATCACAAGCAAAGATTAGAAGAAAGCCCAAGGATGACTCCCAGTACTTAGATGTGGAAAAAGAAAGGGGATGTAGAGGTTGACTTCATTCAGTCTGCTAAGTGTTTCTTCTGAGGTGCATATTAAGCATGTGCTGGTCAGGTAAAAAAGTTGTCAAGTAGAAAACTGAACAAGGAACATGAAAGTGTGGAGTACAAGTGTGCCAATATAGGGATTATACTGTTGGAACATAGAAAATAAGTGAAACCGTAAAGGTTGATGAGATCACCTGAAGCAGGAATTGGCAAGCTTCTGTAAAGGACCAGACAGTAAATACTTTAAGTTTGTGTGCCTCAGCTCTTTCATAACTGCTCAACTCTTGCCTTTCTAGCAAAAAAGCAGCCATAAATAATTGGGCATGCAAGTGTTTAGTAACAAAAACACTAGATCTGGGAAAAGGAACATAGGGTGAAAAATAGGACCAAGACAGAACTCTAAAAACCTGAGGAGTCAAAATAGCGAACACAGAATAGAAAGAAGTAATATATATTCCCTGGATTTAGAGACAGTTTCAGCTCAGGGAGCAGGCGTGCAGTGAATTGAAATTGGACAGACTGTAGCGCTTTAGGCAGCACTGTGGACCCTCGAGGAGTAGGAAGCACATGCACACTGGGGTGAGGAGCACCAGAAGGATAGAAGGAATGGAGAAGGCAGAGGATTAGTGGTTTGATGAGGCCAAGAAACTCATGTAGTAGTTGGTAGTAAAGGTATCAACTAGAAGTGATAGAGATTGACATGTTGATAGCAAAGATTCACAGACAGAGGTTTTCTGCCTGATGATAGGGTTTTGCCTATGCTAACAGAAGGTATGGTTTCCTCCTCCTAAAATGTGTTTAGCATGTGAGATTTACTGTTGGTAAAATCTTCCAGGTAGCTGTGTAGATTAAGTTACAGGGAGAGACTCTAGAGGCTAAAAAATAGGTCATGGGCTGAAGGTGTGAAAGTGGCTAGTAGTAAAAAGTAACAGGCAAAAGAGACTTTGTGAAGGAGGAGTGCATTCTGTTTGATGATGGAGAGAGACTGTAGAGATCACTCCAGGGTTCTAGTTCTCTGGAGAATCCTGGTTCCATTGATGTTCAGGTTGGAGCGAATGAGTTGATTTGGTGTTTACTGACTTTGAGGGGATCTCCTAAAAACATTCCAGAAGTAGTCAGTGGCAGTAGGAGTCCCAGGATTAAATGACACATAGACGATTCTTTCTCCTTCACAGGAACCGTTGACAAGCACTCAGTGGAGGTCACCAATTGTTTTTCAGTGCCACACAATGAATCAGAAGATGAGGTGAGTAGGAGTTTGAGCTGCCTGTGTGCTTTATAGCAAGCCATTTGTCAGACACTGCACAGTACGTTATGCTTATAACTAACGCTCCTACAGCCAGGGAAGTTCGTACTCATGTATACTTCCAGGCCTTTTCTGACTGTTGGGAGTGGCCTCTGTCTTTTTTATCCAGTGTTTCTGTGAGACTTCTGGCTTCTTAGCTTCCTATCCTGCCTTCCCTCATAGGTGGCTGTTGACATGGAATTTGCTAAGAACATGTATGAATTACACAAAAAAGTCTCTCCAAATGAGCTCATCCTGGGCTGGTAAGTTGGGAAGGGGTGGGACTGTATCTCAGTCACTGTAAGATCTTTTGCCATTAGACCAGAGCTTGTCTTCTCCCTTCTAGAGACAGTATTGAAATGGTATGCCTTCAGAGAGCTGTGGATTAAGTGTGTTTGCCTGGCAGTTCTGATCCGTTAAAGTCAAAGTACTTATCTTGAATTAGCACTTTTACTGTGAGTCTTTTTTAGTGTCATTCGAGTCAGCCAGACACCCATGGTACCATTGTGCTTGCCGTTGATGTCACATGTACACATAAGCCCACAATTACATTCTACTTTCCAGGTATGCCACAGGCCACGACATCACAGAGCACTCTGTACTGATCCACGAGTACTACAGCCGGGAGGCCCCCAACCCCATTCACCTTACTGTGGACACGAGTCTCCAGAACGGCCGTATGAGCATCAAGGCCTACGTCAGGTAACCACAGAGTACTGGCCCACAGGGCACAGAAATAGGGCTGCCATGCCTAGGTGACACGCTGTCCCTCCCCCTTTTCAGTGTGTAACTCCTTGCCTCTTCAGGAAGCACATTCCTCTCAAGAGTTGTCATTAGAAAGGCTTCACTCTGAAACAGAATCTGTGCTGATACTTTCCACTCCCTGATCCCAGTTGTACTCCAGGTACTCGTTGCTCTTCACCAGTTTTAAACAGACATATGAACAAGTTCTCATGCTTCTTTCATGTCATCTTTTCTTGAGCAAACTCTTCCTACACACCTTTATCATGATCCTTCACCAAGTTCACTGCTTTTCTTAGTTACCCGTTAGTAAAGTTCTAGAACCTAAGGCAGTATTTACAGATTAAAAGATCACCATGTTGGGGGGCAGGGTAAGACAGGTGTCACTGTGTATCAGGCTGGCCTTGAATTTGCATTTATCTGCCTCAGCCTCCAGAGTGCTGGGGTTTATAGGCCATTGATACGCTCAGCACTCAGCACTATCCTTATTTTGAATGTAGCTATTAACCCAAGATTGAGTAATGTTTTGGTGACAATAGCATTAATTACTGGTACACTGACTTGTGGGCAGTTAAAATGCCAGTGGATGAGGGTTGTTAGGAAAGGCTCTAACAGCCAAAAAAGAGGCTGCTGTGGGAATTGGAAAGATTCCTCCGTTGAGAGTAAAGGCATTTAGTGTATATCTTTTGCTACTTAACTTTGATGTTTCAGTGGCTGATAATAATGTGGTCAGTTGACTATTATACAATGAATGTTCTGCTAAACTCTAGCTGTTCCCTGAGTTCTTCGCCATTATAGCTATATAATAAGATTTTTCAAAATCCAGTTGAAAATATAGTTGACATAGTAAAAACAACATTTCTAGTAAGGTTATCCACTGCACCCAGTCTAGTCTTGGTGAGCAGGAATTTTTTGCTTTTTCAGTACTAATGAAAAACTCAGTCCTAGAAAAGATCCATTTTTTATCTTTGCTTTCCACGGGGGTGACTTTCTCAGCAGCCAGCTTCACAAAATCTGGCGTTGTTTTGCACTGTGTGTGTGGTAATCCTCTAAAGGGACCAGGCCAGAGCCAGAGTATGGGGACCAAGAGTTTGGTGTGTATAATAGGATCAAGAAAGTGCGTTTTACTCCTGTGAGACCAAGGCTTTGTGTTTACTCTGACTTCTACCTCCCCAGCACTTTAATGGGAGTTCCAGGGAGGACCATGGGAGTGATGTTCACACCGCTGACAGTGAAATACGCGTATTACGACACTGAACGCATTGGAGGTGAGCAAACTTCCTCTACCTTCTTAGAAGGTTTAGGGCTGTTCAGTGGAGGGGCTGTCAGTGGAGGATGTTCAGTCATACTAGGTAGAGGGATCGAGCTCTGTTAGGAAGAAGAAAAGTCAGAAACAGAGCAGCAAGTTTGTGGAAGCTGAGTCCTGAAGGGATGGGAGGAAGAGTTACCATTGTCTTGCTGACACGAATACCCTTTATCTCACAGTTGACCTGATCATGAAGACCTGTTTTAGTCCCAACCGGGTGATCGGTCTCTCGAGTGACCTGCAGCAAGTTGGGGGAGCATCAGCTCGCATCCAGGATGCCCTCAGCACAGTGTTGCAGTATGCAGAGGACGTGCTGGTGAGCAGGGGAAAGGAAACAAAGGAGGGGCCATCGTAGGGGTGTGCTGATGAAATGATAGTACAGCACAGCATGGTGGTGAGATTATGCCTTACTGGATCTTTGTTTTGGTATTCAGTCTGGAAAAGTGTCAGCTGACAATACTGTGGGCCGCTTCTTGATGAGCCTGGTTAACCAAGTGCCCAAGATAGTTCCTGAGGATTTTGAGACCATGCTCAATAGCAACATCAATGTGAGTACTGTTTTTGGGCTCAGGAGCCTTCCTCCTCCACTTCAGCTCAAAATTGGGAAGAAAGTTAGATGTCAGGGACAATAGAGGAAGCGAGGCTTTACCTTTGTCCATTTGGCAGTTCAGTTTGGGAGAAAGGAATACGTAGTACACATGTTTGAGGATCCTTTCTCCCTTGATTCTATTTCTCAGGTACTGTGATCCTGCTGTGACTTGTTTAGATGCAGTACACAAAGAAATGCTAAAATTGAGAAGTGATGAACATAATTTATTTTCCCTATCTGTATAGTCAGATTCCCTGTATTCATCCATGGATCCCAGCTAACACACCCTGGGACTATTAGTGCATCAGTAAAGATGGGAAAGTGTCCTCAAGCATTTCCTTTCTGTCTTCTACCTTCAGCTCCTCAGTCTCTCCCAGCTATCATTTATCTGGAACTAGTCTCTCACATCCACAGTTAAATAGAGCTGGCCAAGACCAGCTTTTCTACTTCCCTTCCATCCAGCCTCTCACTGTTTATCCTTTGTCTTCCAGGACCTGCTAATGGTGACCTACTTGGCCAACCTCACACAGTCACAGATCGCCCTCAATGAGAAACTTGTAAACCTGTGAGTGGGTTCCAGCTGGCGCTTCTACCAGTCTTGAGACTCAACTGTAGGGCCAGCATGAAGTGGAGGAGAGATGGTTTGTGGTCTTGGGTCGCAAGTAAGTGACTCAAGTCACAAAGTAAGTAAGCTGCTTGTGACTCTAAATAAACATAGTTTACCTTTTGTAAATGAATTCTATTTAATGCGAGTTTATTCCTGGGTGGAAAGGAGAGGACTTCTGGAGCTCACACAGAAACTACAGATTGGGCACTGTTAAAGTGGAAGCTCTTTATGTATTGAACAGGACTTATTATCAGTAGATGCGCCTGCAACCCAGGCCACGTTAGCCTCACCCAGACCCACACCAGGCAGCCTACTCAGCGTATCAGTTGTAGAGTGGCACTTTCTCCTTCCTCTGTGCCTGTGATCATACAACTTAGACCTCCACAATGTTTTTATTCTTGTCGGTGTACGAGATTGCAAAGCCAGCAACAACATTGTTGCCTCATGCACAGTGTTGAAGGCCTGGAAATGGGGTCTTAAGTGAGAGGAGAGAAAAAAGAAGAGGATGGACATAGACACTCATTCTTGAGACCTTCAAGTCTCTGGCAGTAGAAAGACAGATTTCTCCATGGTGAAGAATAACTAGAAAAGTGTCCAGTAATGGCACTGTTGTGCGTTGCCTGGTTTGCCCAGGAAATGAAAATCCATAGGGGAAAATAATTGAGAATTGGATTGTTGATTTGACTTTACAAAAGAGTACATGGAATAGTAGGGTAAAGCTATTTGCCATTTTGCTTTAGGGAGACAGTATTAGAACCTGTGAGTAAAAGTTTAAAATAATTTCTCCAAAACCTCTGAAAATGCTCAGATATTGTCCATGACTCAAGAGCAACCTTGGGCTATGTTGTGGTCTTTAAATGGCTGAGTCTAAACACATCGAGGCACCCAGAGACCTTGTAGGTTTCCATAGTTGCCTAGGTGACTTCAAATTTTCATTTGAGTGGATAATGCTGGAATTGTGCATGGGCACTGTGGGATGTCCTAAAATAAGAGAAATCATTACTCAAGGAGTGAGCAGTTTAGTACATAGTGGAGTGAAAGGTAAAGTGGAGGCAACTAGGAATCAGGATGGCCTGGGTCCTCATTCTGATTCTAAGATAAATAACTAGAGAAACTTAGGAGTCACAAGTGGATCTTAATACATAGCCCACTAGGGTATCCTGAGGAGTCAGTGAATTAATAAGTGTCAGCTTTACACTTGCAGAGAATAATGCCTCATATATAGAACACATAAGTGATAAGGTAAAACACAGTTCAAAAATGAGCAACATGAACACAGCCCTGGATCTTGTGTCTGGTTTTGAACTGTAACTTTATTGTACTATGAGTTGTATCAATAATAATGATATTTTCTTACAGGGAAATGTACACGTTATCTGCAAAATAATGATTATACCAAATTGAGAGATTAAAAATAGAACACAGGATGGGAAGAGTTAACCAAAATGTTACTGTGTTTTTATATTTTCTGTGTACACAATTAATATCAACTGTAGTCCTGAAATGCATGTTAAAATTTCAGAATTAATTACAAAAAATACACGTGGTATATTTTCTGTGAGAGGTAATGAAATGTGGAATAAGAAAAAAGAACCAAAAATTAGAGAAATGAACATGGAAAAGGTACATGAAGCAAAATAAGATGGTAAAACAGTTAAGCTAAATCCATCAGTAACTGCAGTAAATGTGAAAGTATTTTAAAGTAGCTGGAGAGGGAAAAAGATTGACTGTCAAGGATGAACAAACCCTAGCCTTGTGCTGATTACAGAACCACTTAGAACAAGAACACAAGTTGTCCTTGCAGCTGTAACGGTAAAAGTGAATTTTAATACTACAATTGGATGAAGTCTCAGAAAACAGTGCACATGATGGTACTCAAAACAGAAAAAAAAAAGTGAAACTAAACTGCTTAGCTATATGTATATATACAGTTGATTAGTATTTGTAATAACCACATAAGTTAGTATTTAAGGATTGAGAGGTTAGCTCAGTGGTATAGCACTTGGCAGATACGTGCAAAGCCCTGGATTGGTCTTCAGCACTGCAAAAAAGAAAAAAATAGGTATAAATTCTCTGTAGCAGTTAGGAATAAAGCCACCATGATACTTTTTTAAAGACCTTACTTAGTATACATAGTTTCTCGTTAACAGGTGCCTACGGCCTGCCAGCAGCGCCATTACTGAGGCTTGTACTCAGGCTTGCGTGAGGTCATCCAGCCTGGGTCTTTGCTCCAGAAGGCACGTTAGAGCATTCTTGCACAGGCACACTTAGGAACCATTTTAAGTAGTAAAGCCAACACAAAAATGGGAAAACAGCCCAGTGTAAACCATGAAAACAATACTTTTCATGAGAGTGAAAACAAAAAAAACTGAGACTATCGGGAGCTTGCCCTTGAAGGGGATGTTGATATCCTGGTGTCTCTTCCTCTGCTTCTTGGCTGCCATGAGGTGAACAGGCCTCCGCCACCACTTGCTACCATCCTGCTGTACTCACCTTGCTGCCACCAGCCCAAGTAAAGCATGGCGTGAGTCATGACCCAAAATAAACCTGTCATCATTTTAAATTGGCCATCTCAGGTATTTTGTCATGGTAATAAAGCTAACACAACTAAAAATTCATGGTTTATCTTGAAGTGTGAATGAAGCCAGGGAAATAGAGTAAATGTAAATTACTCATAATGAGCTAGTGTAGGGTTGGGTGGTAGCTCACGAATACAAATAAAGAATCAGCATCAGCTAAGATGACGTAGTATTTATCATTAGCTTTGCTTGGGAGTTAATAACCATTGTGTTTAAATAGAGATACCAAAAATAAATGGAAAATAGGAGGAACTTTTAAAAATTACTGTTACGCCATTGATAGGATGGAAGAAAACTTTCAAATGCTAAGGGAAACAAAAAAAGCCAGTCATGGTAGCACATGCCTGTAATCCCAGCTCTGGGAAGGCTGAGGCAAGAGGATTACTGTGAGTTCAAGGTCAGCCTGGGCTACAAAATACGTTCAAGGCCAGCCTGAACTACATAGACCCTGTCTCAAAAAGAAACATTAAAAAGGCATTTAGTGTTCTTGGATTATTTTGAATGCTGCCAATTCTCCCAAAGTTGCATATCTGTCATAATTCTAATAAAAAATGATATTCTTTTTTGATCTGAACAAGCTGCTTCTATTTGTATAAGAAAATAAAAACCATTCTAGAAACATCCATCATAGAACTATAAGCCACTTTAACAGCCAATAATCCAATACATGTGCAAAGTATATAAACAGTTATACGCATACACAAAGAAGCACTACATGAAAAGATGCTCGCTGATTAAAAATATAAGTTAAAGTAACTAGCCGTTTGTATCAGATTTGCTGATACAAACCTGTGAAGGCCAGAGAAAGGGGAAGCATTATACAGGTATTGTTGATAGGCATGTACCCATGTCTGTGGGATATTTTGAATTTGTATTTGTTAATATATAAATGTGCCATTGGCCCAGGAATTCTAATCTTAATTATATACACTCAAATTAGCGTGACTATAATATGTAAGTATATAAGTAATTTTTGGTTATAACTACATACAGATTTTAATTAATCCAAATGAATATTACCAGAAAACTTTGAGCAGTTTTGTGGTGTGTTTGTAAAACACAGTACTATAAAGTTAAGAAAAATGAGACTGTTCTTTATGTATTAATACGGATAATTCAAGATACACTTGAGAAAAGGCTGGAGAAAATGCTGTCTGAGAGGCCAGGGGTTTAGCTCAACGGCTTAAGTGCCTGCCTGGAAAGTGCAAGGCCATGAGTTTAATCCCCAGCACCAAAATAAATAAATTATATTTACATAATAAATAGTACAAATGCAAAAGAATGATAAATTCAAGGAAGGAGGAAAAGGGAACACTGTTGGAAAATTATTCACAAGTGGTTTTAACTATATAATTTTTTAAAGAGCAGGGCAATAGGAATTAAATATGACACAATAGTAAACCTTTCCTATCTGTGTAGTAGGTACGTAGATATTCCTTAAATTATTTTCTGTAACTTTCTATAACCAATTTATTTTAAAAATTAGAGGATTAGTCTTTAAAGATGTGAATGCTAGTTTACTATGTGCTCAGAAAATTAAGCTAGCCTGTATGTTTCCATTTGTATATAGAATGGCTGAGAAATGAACTCGAGGGTCAGCCAGGGCTTCTCTGTTTCCAAGGGCCCAGGGCTACATCCCATAGGGTAGACCTGCTACCCCTTTCCTCCTCCACATCTCTGTCCTGCCTCAGCTATTCCCCAACCACCAGAGTAGCATTTCAGGGCCACAGTGGAGAATCCAAGCCCCTCCCCCCCTTCATACTGTAGGTGCTGCTCAGAGCACCTGACCTTTTTCTGAGAAATGCAGAACAGAAGGAATGGGACCCCTACCATCTCTGTACACTGGACTGGTTCAAGCGGTGGGCAGCCCAAATTCTGGAATTGAGACCATAAACTGCTGGAGGAGTTCAAGAGGAGTCGCTGGGGAAGGTGACAGGAGACGCTGGAATAGAGCTTGAAGGGTGCCCAGGAAGCACAGCAACACCAGGATGCCTTAAGAGAACTGCCAAACGTTTCTAAAGAGAAGGTCAGGATGATCATGCCATTGGCCACCAGAAAGATAAAGTGACCCAAGTGAGCATAAAGAAGCTCAGGAAATGGGGGAGTGGAAGCACAGACTCAAGAAACAAGAGCCAAGCACAGGTGAGAGAGACACTGCCACCTGCCCTGCCTAGTGTGTGCTGTACCTATTCCCCCTCCACGCTGACTAGAAAGTGGAAGCAGTGACCATTTGGGAACAATTAGAAAGTTAGGACTGAGAGGAAATTTCCACAGTCAGAAAACGGACAGGTGTCCAGTGCGTATAGCTAAGGTATCCCAACCTGTGTGTCCACACAGTCACACTAATTTTCTGCTCACATCTGCTCAGTTTTACTCCACATCTCTCTCTATCCCAAAAAACTCCCTAGCCAGTTGTACTGCCCAGCATTCTATTGCTGGGACAAAATATTTGACATACAGATCTTAGTGGAGGAAGGGTTGGTTTTGGCTCACAATTTCATAGATTCAATCCATGGTTAACTGGAAATATCATGGTGGAAGAAATCTGCTC